ATCTGCCTTCTCTACTACATTTAGAAAGCTGCTAATGCAGGGCTGTCAAATTTAAGACTGGGGAGGAGGGGCAAATTCAGCCGGCGGAATGCTTACATCTGGCCCCCCGGACTGCCCTGGAAACAGCCAAAGAGTGACCCCTGGTGCCTCTACCAGCAAAAACAGAGCTTGGGAGACCCACATGTGGCCTTCCAAGTTCCGTTTTCACTTGCAGAGGGTTACAGGAGGCCATCATAGCCTAAAACAGAGCTTGGGTGCCCATTTTCTCTGGCACAGCACTCAGGCTACCATAGGCGTCCCTGATATGAATGATGTCGAGCTGGCCAGCCCCCCTCCCCCGGCGAGGTCAAACACAACCCTGATGTGGCACTCAGTGAAATCGAGCTTGACACCCCTGTTCTAATGCAAAGATGGAGCCATTGTTCATATACCCAATGAAGCAGACTTCTATATTTTAACCTTTTCCAATCATACAATCTACAGCCTTAATCTTAACATTTTTCAACATTTTTACAGACTGCTTTCATCAAGTTTTTTTGGGGTATGTGTGTGTGTAATGCTAGCAATAAATAATCCATTTTCATATGGAACTCTTTTAAGTGTTTTTTTCCAAAATTCCTGATCTCCATTTTATATCTATTATTTTTAATTCTATTCATTTTACCAGAGATCTTATTAATCATTAATGTTTACATTATTAATCTAGACCATTCTTTGTTCTTTTTGCATTGTTTTAACTTTGTCATTCAAAGTAGCATTCTTTTAGTCTAAGTCCACATATTTCTGTGACACTTGGTCACAGTGTTCTCTTCCAAATAGCTCCCACATTTCTCCTCTCCGCCCTTCTCCCTTTCCTTTCTTCTTTCCCTCCCAAGGTAACTCCACAGTTTCTTAGCTTTCCTTGGAAGACACCTGACAGGACAATTCAGCTTGCCCTGAATGATTAAGTTGCAAATATTGAAACACTGAATCTAAGAGAATTAGGAATGAAGATTCTAGAGTTTATGGTCACCTTCTTCCTATGATTATGTTTGCCCTTTTTCTCTTGTTGAGACGACATCCTCATGGCAGCTGGGTGCCTTTTTTGGAGAAACATAACTGGTGAGGGAATGATGGTTGCTATGCTTCTCTGTTCTGTTTTCACCAACTTAATAGAGGGTTTTCCTGTAGTCTGCTCAGAACCCACTGTTCTTTACCTTGCTAATGATTGTTCAGTTTTTATTAGGAGATCAGTCTGGTTCACATCTTTTAAAGATATGCCACTTATTCTATATCAGCTTGCTTAGTTCAGTTGCAGTTTTAGATTTTAACCAAGAAAAATTACATTGAGTAGTTTCGTGATTTTTCAAAATATATCAGCAGTGAAAACTGAACAAACAGTAGAATACCGCTAGTGTGAATTTTCAACAGCTGAATGGGGGAGTGCTGTGAACATAATGTAAAAATTATATTCATATTTGCTTAAATTATGTTAACAAAACAGGCTAAGGTGTTAAAATGTATTATGGAAGAAAACAAAGGTGTTGCTATTATTATTTTTTTCTCTTACTGTTTTAAAAAGTACAATGTGGTTGCCAGTATAGTCAATGGACAGATTAATTCTTAAAAGCATCAGATACAACTGAAACACATGTAAAACAAATAATTAACAAGCATAATAAAAATAACGGAAACCCAGTAAATCATTAAAATACATTATATGCTGTATACAGTGAAAAGTTAACAAGATGCCATTGGTGAAACTGGGTTTATTTGATCAGAAGTGGCATAATTTCTTCTACATTTAGTTTGAGGATATCTATATGTGTGATGTGTGTATGTATATGTATGTATGTATATATTTATATATTTATGCATATTGAATATGTGGATGAAAAGTTACAATAATACATGATTGTACTATTGGAAGTTCTGAGAGATAAGGTTAGGATTAGGTCAGATCATCATGGAGGAAATCTATGTAGTAACTAAGATTTAGCAATGACTTGTTGCACATGACTTGACTTGCGTATGTATACACACAAATACACATAGGCATATACAGTTCTCACTGCCATTACACTAAAATAAGTATATACTTCTATTAATTTCTTTCTTACCGGTTCCTGGACATGAGATGTTATTGTATCGTTTTTCTCATATACAGTTTTTTTATGAGCAATTAAAACTGTGTATCACAATAATATACCATATAAAATAGCATAAGATATAATTCCAAAATGTTCCCTTTAGAGATACAGGCCTATTTACCTAGAAATAATTTACATTTTCACAAAGTCTTCAATATTTCATTTCTTTTTTATATACTGCTTTGTCTTTTCCTTCTTTTTTATTCAGTTAACTGCCTCTGCCCCTCACATTTCTTTCTCTTGCTCCAACTTCCTTTTATATTCCATCTGCCCTGATAATTTTTAATATAATGCAAATAAACTACTTTTTCAGCTCAGAGCATGCCAAATTGTGGTTGCTTATTTTAGATATTTCTATTCCACCAGAATCCAAAGAGACCTGGCATTTTTCGTATAAAGCAGCAGAAACAAAAGTATCTTTAAAAAGAGATATAATCATCAAGAATGTTAAAAATATTTCATAATAATTCCATTTTAGCTGCCTTACAAATAAGAAATGCATTACTTTTCCCAGATAAAATTTTAACAATGTTTTAATACTAAAACAGTACCTGTTCTGTGTTATTAATTGTCACACTTTTAATATTTAAAGCTTTATATTTGTTTGTTTGTTTGTACGATGTCTTTATTATTTTTACAATTAACTCAAGATGGCAAACATATCCAACATATGTTCCTCCTGCTATTTTTTTTCCAACAACAAACCTGGAAAGTAGGTAGAGCTGAGAGAGTGACTGGCACAAAGTCCACCCAACTGATTTTCATTGCTAAGGCAGGACTTATGCTTACAATCTCATGCTCACTCATACACTTCATTATATGAAAAGGGTAAGATTGTAAAAAGGGCATTATCTACATAGTGTTTTTTGTTATATGAAAGGGTTATGTTGGGATGTGCATGAGATCTCAATCAGAGTATAAATGTCTCCATAAAGCATATAGAGCATGTAAAGAATAATTGTCAAATAATTGTGAATTTTTTTTTAGACAAGCCTAACTTAGAAAATTATGATGATTTTTTATTTGATGGCTAGAGACCATAAGATGTCCAGAAGATTGTAAATTGAAGAATCATTGAAAGAGACATTGAAGTCTAGCTCCATCAACTGTTACCATCAACTGTTACCTTCATTGTCATATTCCACAAATGTTTGTGTAACGTGCCTTATAAGAGTGGTCAGATGTGTGAACAAAGAGCTTATAAATATGAGGGAACACTAGATAGTCTCTTAATGATTATATCAGTGGTCCCCAATCTTTCTAGCTTGGCGGAGGGCAGAGGGGAGATATGAGCAGCAGGCATGTGCGGGCAAGCCTGCATAGCTCCATTTGTGCATGCTGAGGGCACGGGTGCCTGCCGCTCCCACAAATGCAGCTTTGCATGTGAGCCCGCTGCTTGCATAAATGTAGCCTTGCACACGATCGCATACACCAGCCGCTCGCACAGATAGAGCTTTACACCTGTACTCACCTGCCTCTTGCTCAGACCATTCATTGTAGTGGGACTCAGCCCAGAGTTTGGGGATCCCTGGATTAGATAGTCTCCTAATGGCTTTTAATAATTTTGGGTATAGCTGGCCACCCACCATAAGAATTCAACAAGTGCATTTTGAACCTATGATCAAATCTCAAATTTTCAGAAGTATACATTTTGTTAGAATCTCTTACCAAAAACCTTCATGCCTTTCTATATAGTTTCTTATAATGGTTTTATTTCCCTTTTCCAGTCTAGAATGTATTATTTCATTTAATAGTAAAAAAATATGCTGTTTTTTTCCTTTTTGAAAGAATAATCACCCAGAGTGGACTAATCTTTGATGACAAACCATACAGATTCAATAATAGCTTTCCAGTCAATATAGTATCATAAGAAGCCTAAGGCAGAAATATTGGCCACCTAGAACTGTGGTGGTGATATTCAAATTATTCTGCAAAGAGCAACCTGAAGAGCAAAAGATTATTAAAAATTATTGTGAAGATGGTATTGTTGCATATTGCTGCAAGGCTACTAATCCATGTTCTTCCTCATGGTAACAAATGCAGTATGATGATTAAAAAGAAGTGAAGAAACTGCCCTATACATAATTGCATTCTAGGCTTTATGGAATATTTTATATTGGACCACTATCAGTTGATTAGTTAATGCTGACAAATTATGAGAGCAACTATATTTTTTGATAGTTCCATATCTAAACTGAATTCATACAGCTTTGAAAATCCAGTCACAATGTGCTCACCTCGAGGATTTTCATTCAGGTTCGTATTGATCCTGAAATTAATTGCATATGTATTTCTATAAAGGAGCACTTTGTTGGTACAAAGAGACCATTTTGTACAACACTTCACAATCCAAAGTTGAGGCTATAAGCCTCAAAACATTTGGTGCAGCCATCGATACATATCCAACAATTTCCACCAAAGTATAGTTTACAGAAGAGAAATAAATCCATGAACTGTATTAAATTAATTTTTATTCATTCAGATTTAACTTATTTTTCTCTCTTGTTGGAATATGATTTATGGCATACCACACTATGCCAGCTAAAAAGATTGTAGACACCTTTGATTTGATGCTTACTTCTCATGCACAATAAACTAACTTTGTTACTTAGAAATGTCCTTTGAGTTGATAAGTAGAATTTAGTGAGATTTAAGTCCACAACTAAGTAAATTGTATCTGTTGGTATCAGCAGAATTGAAATGCCTTATTCAGCACAGGGTTAATTTAAAACCTGTGACATACCCCAGGATTTTTACTCAATATGAAAATAGCCTTGCATTTTTCATTTTCAGTTTTTATTTCATGCATGTTTTTACCTGAGTTAATGTTTCACTTTTTTGTTATTTTCCCATTAATCTCTTCCTCTTTAGGTGCAATCTAGCTCCTGTGGTGGAGTTTGCTGCGGACGTGGGAACTAAATCAGATTTTATTACCATGAACCCATCAGTTGTACAAAGAGCATTTGGAGGCTTTCGGAATGAGAGTGACAGAGAAAAATTTGTGCACAGACTATCTATGCTGAATGACAGTGTCCTTTGGATCCCTGCTTTCATGGTCAAAGGCGGAGAGAAGCATGTGGAGTGGGTTAATGCATTAATCCTTAAGAATAAATTGAAAGTGCGAACTGCCTATCCATCACTGAGACTTATTCATGCTGTCAGAGGGTAAGTATCTGGAAAAGACTGGTCTGTCCTTGGCACAATGGAACTCGTAACTAAAATTTCTGCTAGAGAGAAAGAGTGGCTCTAAAAGGTTTGAGATAATTTCATTCAACTCATAGTGGATTACGTTTCTGATAAAGACATGTTTTAGAACAAGCACTTCCCATCTGTTTCGTCCATTCAGAGGCAAGCATTGGGGCCAATTTATTTGTTTCTCCGCTTTATATACAAAAGCATGTGAATCTTCATCAGGTATGGCTGGACCACTCCCCCTCTCCTCACCCATTTGATCTGTAGCAGAGACAGCCACTGCCAATATTGCATGTTCTGACTTGAAAATGTTTCCCCTCTCCTACATGTTCTGTTGTTTTCCATATGCATGTTTTCCACTCTGAGGAAGCTGGGCTTTCAGAATCCACACTATATTTCTGCAATTGAACAAACATCAAGCAAATTTTATTTTTATTTAAAGCATTTATCTAATCAGCCATCTTATACCAAACTCTGGCCAGTTCACAAAAAATAATTAAAACAATATCAATAGTAAAAGCAACATAAAAACCATATTTAAACTATCAACACTATAAATATTGAAAACAAAAACTTGGCACAAGTTGAACATGCAGTTGCCTCAACGTATGCCAGCGTTTGGAGGAAAAGCCGACTCATCAGTATTTTTTGGGAAGCATGGGCAAATAGAGGTTTGCTTAACTTCACAAGGAAGACTGTCCCATAGGGTAGCAACTGCCATGGAAAAAGCATCAAGGATCATATAAGTCCATTTGTTATGTGAGGTTAAATGCTTTTGGGGATGCATCTATTCCTTTTGGAGATACCTTTTCCCAGGTTGTAGTTAGTCATTGCATTGCTCTGTTGTACATTCTGTTTTTGCCTTAAAACATTCGATACTCCGGCACTTCTTTTTGCTGGAATAATTTCAGATTAATTATTTTGGTTGCATTTTGCTTTTCATTGGCCTTCTGCTTATTAGAATAGCATACAGTATAGTTTTTTTCCCCCCCAAAGGTACTTTCCAAATAAGAAAATTCATAGGGTATTATGTAGCGGTAAAAAATTAGAGGGCTTATTATTCTGAAAGCAGTTGTACCTATCAATAGTAAAAATAACTGCCCTGATCTATCTAATAGCTTTATTCTCCAAAACACTAAATGAAAACGCAGTCTGCATACTGGAGCTGCATAACTACTACTGTAATATTCAAAAATCCATTTTGAGAATAGCAAGAATAATCATGCCTACACATAGGTTCCCTACTGATGGTATTGGATTGTCACATTCTTAGTGTGTACAAAGAAAATATTACATTCAAATAAGTTGTACCACAGGAAGATTGAGAGCGATGAAGCATGCATGTCTATACAGGATATTCTCTGAAGATGATGGAGGGTTAAAATTCCATTCTCTGTCTTTTGTTGTTGTTGTTCTTTATTCTTTCACTGGAGTTGGGCAGTCTCTTGACTAGGAAATTGTGCTCAAGCCCAAAACTATCCTCTGGAAACTAAAGCACATGGACACCTTCTGAGGAAACAGATGTTGCATTTGCTGATTTCTCTATTATACCTTCCATTTCAATATTTCATTAGTCTCTGATTTGGATCATCGTAACATTGTGTTTATTTACTGTCCAAAAGCCCCAAAGCATACTCTATGTCAGTGGTTCTCAACCTGTGGGTGAGGACCCCTTTGGGGGTCGAACGACCCTTTCACAGGCATCGCCTCAGACCATCGTAAAAGACATATTTTTGAAAAAATACGGAAAACATAAAATAATTTTATGGTTGGAGGTCATCACAACATGAGGAACTGTATTAAAGGGTCGCGGCGTTAGGAAGGCTAAGACCCACTGCTCTACATGGAACTGTGTTTGCCACATAAATTGTGCTGATTGCCGTTAAGCTTTAGGCACAATTAATATGCTGTTTATCACTTATAAAGCCTTCTCTGAAAGATTGCCTCTGTTCCATTACAGGCAGTTCTTGTTTAGTATCTGCTTCATTTAGCAACTGTTTGCAGCTACAGCAGTGATGAAAAAGTAATTTTGTGACCAATCCAAAGCATTTGCAACTTTGCTGAACTGCAAAATGAAGGAAGGCTAAAATAAGATTATTACCACCATCACTTGTAGTGACCCTTTTGCTTTGCAACCAAGTTTCTGGTCCTATTTGTGGTTGTAAATGAGGACTATCTGTGTTTCTGACTATTATCTATGATTCAATTGGGAAGGAGAAGGTTACTCTGTTCTCCTTTTTAGTCTCATTTTTGAGTTTGTTAGCTTTGTTTTTTAAGTACTGTATTTCTTTTAATCATGCACTATCCACAATCTTGAATTGTGAATCTTTATGACTCTGAATTATAAATTATATAAATGATCAATTATAATGTTGGTACTAAAAAAAAACCTGTGTGCTGACTGTGGATATGATCTTGATACTAGTTTGAGTGTACCTCCCCTAGAATATAAGAGTAGAGCAAATCCAGTGCTTCTTTCTAACTAATATGAATCAGGTACAATATAAACTGAAAATGATTGTGTAGCTTATAGCAGTACCTCAAAGGAATAATTTCCTTTTCTAAACAGTGATATTGTTATAAGCTTTAACTTCTATTGTGCACAAGGAGCAAGAGCCGGTAAGTTATCGTCTAATAAACAATTTATGGCAAATTAGGAGATTTAGGAGAGACATGAGAAAGAGTACAACAGGAAGTGAAAAATCATTGCTAGCTCTGCAGGGATTAGGAATAAAGAGATATATGTACCCAACCGAGATCCTGTCTTTTAAAAGAGCATGGAAGCTGTGAAAAGGCACAATGATATTCCCCATTACACAAATTATTTATCAATAGTTGAATAGAACACCCACACAAGATGACAAAACAAAAACAAAAGGGGTATGTTGAATTAGAGATGAAGCTGACTAGTGAGAGACTAGTGCTTCATGCAAATATCAATCTATAGCTGCAACTCGAATAAAAACCCATTTGTGACCCTCTTAGAGTTTTCTGAATGGCTCAATGGCTAAGACACTAATCTTGTCAATCAGAAAGGTCAGCGGTTCGAATCCCTAGTACCTCGTAATGGAATGAGCTCCTATTACTAGTCCCAGCTATTGCCAACCTAGCAGTTTGAAGGCATGTAAAAATGCAAGTAGAAAAATAGGAACCACCTTTGGTGGGAAGGTAACAGAATTCCGTGCACTTTTGGCATTTAGTCATGCCGGCCACATGACCATAGAGACATCTTTGACTTTGAAATGGAGATGAGCACTGTCCCCTAGAGTCAGGAACGACTAGCACTTATGTGCAAGTGGTCTGCGAATATAGGGATGTGATGATAAGCTTCAGTTAAATCCACTGAGGTGAGGAACTCGCCTTTCCTGGCTCCCTCCAGGATGGTGTGGAGGGAGTGCATTTTGAACCGCCGATAAACAATCTGGTGGTTCAATGATTTAAAGTCTAGGATTGTTCTCCAATCCCCAGAAGCCTTCGGCACCACAAACAAGCGGGAGTGATATTCCTACCCTCTCTGGTTCGAGGGAACCAGTTGGATGGCCCTTATATCCAGCAAGTGTTGAATAGCCTGTTCCATCAGGACCCATTTGTGAGGGAACCAGGAGATCTGACATTGCACAAAGTGCTCCTGAGGGGTGGAGAGGAACTCTAGAAGGAGTCCGAATTTGATCATTTTGATGACCCAATTGTCCATTGTGTTCTTCTCCCACCGATGAGCAAAGAACGCCAGATAGCCCCCGATGGGAAGAGACTCCAGGCAGTCACTTCTGCCTTTTGAATTGGAAATTTTCCTCACCTCGGTAGGACTTTTTGGGAGGAAACAATCTGCAAATCCCCCATCCGCCACCCAAAAGGGCGACCTCCTATAGAAAAGAGTATGATAGTTTTCCTGCTTTTTGTATAAGGGAAGAGAGGACCTTACGTTTGTCCTTGGATTCAGTAAGGTAAGGATCCAAAGAAGCCCCCAAAAGCTGGGTACCCCCAAAGTGGGAAACTGCCATATGCCATTTGGTCTGGATATCAGCCTGCCATGGCTTAAGCCATAGCAGTCATCTGGCCATGACCGAAGAAGCCATGACCTTGGATGCAAAGCGGGTTGTGTTTAGGGAAGCATCCGCAGAATATTCAACGGCAGCCCTGATCTTATTCAGATCTCGAAGCGATCTGGTAGCCGCCATGGAGAAAAAAGAGGTGGCTATAGATGCCTGCACTGCCCAGGCGCTTGCCTGATATCCCTTAACCAGTGTCTGGTCTGACCTTTTCTCCTCAGGCTTGAGGACCTTCTCAGGAGCTCCAGTGACTACCGTAGGTGATGACGGGTGCATTTGGAGCACCCACTGGAGAGGTCTCTAGGAACCTGGTGAGATCTGGAGCGACATTATAGAGGTGCTTGTCCAAGTTAGTGGGCAGAGGACCTGTTCCCAGAGAGGCCCACTGTTGCTGGACCATGTTCATAAAGAGCTTTGGAGACAGGATAACCTTCTTCTCCACTGTTGGTTTGGAAAACAGAGTGTTAGGATATTCATTCAAAGTTGTATCAGCAGTCTGAGCCTAAGGGGGAGAAGTCAGGTTAGCAGCCCTTTTTGCTTTAAACAGAAGTGACTTAAAGAGATCTGATTTGAACAAGCCGACAAAAACCATAATGTCTGGGGTGATGCCCTCATCATCCGATAAGTCTGAATCTTTGAGAGTATATTGTTCCCAAAAAATTGAAGCCTGACTGGCTGATGTTGAAGGAGGGGGCTGTCTGGAGCCCCTGGATGATCTGTGTCTGTGCCTGCTAGAGGACCTGGAAGATGGTCGCTGCTGAAGGCCGGCTGCAATGCCTTGGTTTATTACCTCAGAGATTATGGCTGCCATATCAGAGAGGGCGGAGGTTGTGGCCTGAGGCAAATTGGTATTCTGGATTGGAAAGGAACAACCAGTTGGAACAGAGTTGACCTATTCAAATAAGCAGTCCCTGTTGAGAGGGA